ACCACCACCACCGCCAACCTCTCAGGTTGGAGGTGTGCCGCCGCCGCCACCACCGCCTCCACCACCAGTAAAAACTGGAGGGCCGCCACCACCTCCTCCGCCACCAGGAAAAGCTGGAGGTCCACCACCACCGCCACCACCACCACCAGGAGGGAAAGCTAGAGGTGCTGGAGGTCCTCCACCACCACCAGGAAAGGCTGGAGGTCCACCAGCACCACCATCTGGAGGTTTTCGATTACAGGCAAATACAAGTTAGTATTATAAAAGGAATTGGCATTTACACATCTATACATTCTTGCAAATGGTGAATAACATGTAATGTTAGATGCAAAATGCACGCCAGGATGTGATAATGCTACTCCCATAAGTTTCTAATTTTAGAAAAATTGTCTACAATATTTGTTCGGTTTGCAATAACAATTTCTATTTTGTTCACTGGATATTTTTGTGTAGATAATCGTAAAGAAGTCCCATACATGACCATGAAGAAACTTAAGCAAGTTCAATGGGACAAGATTAATTTCTTGTCTATTAATAAAACGTTTTGGGGACAAGGAAACATGGATGATGATGAGCTAATTAAATTGCTTGGGGGAGAGTCTGACGTTTTTAATAACATTGAGGAATTATTTGCTGCTTATGAAGCTAAAGAGAGTATGTTGTTTTTGTCAGTTTAATACCCAGATTTTTTATACTTTTCTCATATTTTCTAATATTATGTTTATTCTTCAGGGAAAAAGGTTGAAAAGAAAGAAGAAATTAGTGTTCTTGACCCAAAGAGAGCTTATAATATTAGTAAGAATACTGTTATGTTGGTTTGGTATATTTTAATCCGTTACTAATTGTTGTCTTTTAAAGATTTGGCTCTCGGACGTCAAAAACACCTAACATTTGAAGAAATACATCGGAAGATCGTCGAGTTTGATGAGTACTTCTGTAATGAGAATTTGCTTAATCAATTAATGTTATATATTCCAACACCTGAGGAGGTATGTTATCCAACATAATATACACATGATTAAGAATGTTCTTAATAATTGTTCGATATTTTTTTAGCGTGGTAAACTGTCAGTGTATAAAGATGGCCCTGAAGATATGCTCGAAAATTTGGCTCGTGCTGATCGATTCTTTGTCGAGGTTGGATATTAATAAGAATTTCTAGCTTTTATTAATATCAGAATCATAATATTATACTTTTAAATTAATAGGTGATGAAGATTCATCGATATGAACAACGCCTTAAGTTTATGTATTTCTACGTTACTTTTGATGAAAAATTCAATGATTTGGAACATGTATGTAATTAATCAAATATTATTAGCAGGGGATGATTTGATTTTTAAATAAGTTTATATAAATGTTTATTTTTTGTAGAGTATTGTATCAATATCGAAAGCGTCCATAGCGCTTAAAGAATCAAAGAATTTTAAAGAATTATTAAGCGTAAGAATTATATACATATCTAAAAAATATATATTTTTAAACCTTTTAATAAACTTTCTATAATTTGTTTAGTTTATTTTATTAATCGGAAATTATATGAATGGATCTGGTAACAAAGGAGGTGCTTATGGATTTAAGATTCAAAGTATCAATAAGGTTGTCTAATTATTTATAATTATTTATATTGATTAATAATTTAAGCTATAGTACTGATATTTCCTTTTCATATTTTAAAATATCACGGTAATAAAGCTTGTGGATACCAAGGCTGCAAAAAGTTCATCAATTACTTTATTACACTTTTTGGCCGATACAATCGAAACGAAAGTACCTGATATGGTGGC